ACACTGAGATAGCTTAGAAATGACAAAGAGGAATTTCTTCCTACAAATGAAATTTTATAGGAAAACTACTAATTGTTAAATGTTAATCTTATGATTTCAGAGCTGTCTGAAGAACCCATGCTGATTCATATGTGTAAGTTAAATGCATGTGTTGGATCTGTTGATAAGACTAGATTACGAGCAAAAATATGAGCAAGCATGGAATTGTCTTTTCCATCTGGTCAACAGTTAAAAGAGAGTAATATGTGCAAAAGAAACAAAAAATCTAGGCAAGTCACTGTCAAGCTGAGGAGAGACACTTGAATGTTTGTGGAAATAAATTAACATATGTTATGTGTGAAGGGTACAGCCATTCTTTAAAATACCCGTGACAAAAACCTAATCAAATGACAGCTCTAATAACTGGAGCCCGAAGGGAGCTGTTACAATAATTACACAACATGTAGAGGGTTGTAATAGCAGGGCCTCACCCACTGGAAGATGAAAGGATCATGGCAAATGGAAGCATTTGTATTCTTTGTATTCCCAGAGATGCCAGGGAGGCACAAAGACAAGAGCAGAGGAAAGGTGCATCAGGAATCAATTCAGCTTAAGCAGTTTTGGCCCCAGGGGCTGTGTACTTGGGCTGATATGGGAGTGTGTCCTAGGTTGACTATATGATGCTTTTATCCCCAATCATCTTGTTCTGTTTATGCTGAATAATAAGTTTTGCACCTTTAAGACTTGTTCCAGAGAGTGAAAGGAGGAGAGAAGAAGCAGCAGTTTGTTTTCAGATACTGCACTCACTCCTACACATTCCTCCTCCTGGACTGTGCTCTCTGTGGATGGACAGACGCAGGACAGAGTTCTCCTTTGCTTTTAGTTAGTTTAGCTAGCTGAGGCAAAGAAGTTCCCTGGACTGTGGATTTTTTTACTTTTTCTTTGGACCTGTACAAACCTGCTCTGGTCTGAACACCAGAGGAACACCAGCAGCTCCCACCTGTGGCCCACCGGGCTGGGCCTGGCCCACGGCATTTCCAGCACCCGAGGGACTGAACAGAGACTGAGTGAGCTGAGGGGACTTTCTCAGTTTGTCATGTCTTTTGGAGCAGCAAAGGGTTTTATTGTTTAATATTATTTAGGTTTTATTGTTTAATAAACAGTTGTTTTCCACTTTTCTCCAAGGAGGTATTTTCTCCCAAACCAGTTGGGTGAGGGGCTGATTGAATCTGCTTTTCTAGAGGAGCCTCTTTGGGAGTTCTCTCCAAAATTTGCCCTGAACCAGGACAGAGTGGGATGTGAATTGATCACTTCAGGGTGTGAACAGAGAAAGCAGGTCCAGCCTCTGACCAAAAATACACGAGGAGGTGATGAAAGTCTGCAGGAGGGTAATTGGTGGTCTGAGCCACACTTCTGGCTGTCAGGGTGCAAGATTCCCATTCTTAGAACACGATTCAGTGAATCACCTCCTTTTACCTTCACACAGGCCACTTCTGTCTTGCCTAAGCTAGTACTTCACAGAATTCCCAGAATTCCCAGGATCCCTGGGTTGGGAGAGCCCTTCAAGGCCATGGAGTCCAGCCCAGCCCCTGGCACCCAGTGCCACATCCAGGCTAGTTAAACACACCCAGAGATGATGACTGCACCACCTCCCTGGGCAGCCATTCCAGAACTTTATCCCCCTTGCTGGAAAAGCTTTTTGCTGCTCTCCAAGCTGAATTTTCCTTGGCGCAGCTCAGGCTGTGTGCTCTGACTGTGTCAGTGCTGCTGGAGCCAGAGCCCAAGGGCAGCTGGGCACAGGCACCTTTCAGGAGCTGTGAGAGTGCTGGGGGCACCCTGAGTCTCCTTTCCTGCAGGCTGAGCACCCACAGCTCCCTCAGGGTTCCCTCAAGTTTCTGTTCCCAGCCCCTCTCCAGCCTCTGGCTGTGCTCAAGGCCCTTCCCAAGCTGAGGGGCCAGAGCTAGGCACTGTGCCCTCACCTTCAATGCTCCTGGGTGATGTCTCCAAAGAAAAGGAGGCTTGAAGTGCACAGCAGTGTGGGGCTCAACCGATTACTAGCAGAGTTTTTCTCCTTACAGAACATTTATTTCTTAAGACCACCTTCTTGATTTTTCTCCATCATTTCCTTCATCTATTCAACTCTGTTGCAGGCACTCACTGTTGCAGCAAAAAAAAAAAATTGTTTATCAAGAAAAAAAAAAAAAAGGTGTTTATCAAGACAATGTAAATTCCTTGATGCACCACCAAGGTGCACTTTTATAAATGAAAGCAAAAGTAGACCACATGAACTAGGGAGGCCTGCACTTCAGGCAAGGCCTGTGATAAGTTTAAAGTGTTGTGCCCTTTATATTGCCATATATTTTATTTCAGCGCAAGCAAACCTATGGAATGTTAGTGATCATCCTGTAAAATGAGAACTTGAAATGAAAGCTGTGCCAGAGATCTGATATGCTGCATTTCACAGGTCAAAAAATTGTGCTATCCAAATCTTAAGTCGCCTCATCTTCAGAGTGAGAAAAAGAGAACATGTTCTTACCTAGGTGTCCTTAATTTTCTCAAAAACATGTCAGATTTATTTTCCTTTAAAGGAATACCAATGTGTATGGCTTGCTTCACTTAAAAGACTGATTTTTCTGAGGGCCAAGAGGAGCACTGTGTTCCAGGCTTTTTGTCCTTTAGGTTATCATCTTCATGGCAATATGGATGGATGAACCTTCTACCAGCTGGGGCTCCCAGAGTTATTCCTAGATTTCTGAGAATAAATTAAATCACTTTTGGGGAGACAATGGCTAGTGGAAATAAGTCTGAGGTGAGGAGTTGTAGTTTCAGCAAACTGGAAGAGGACAATTTCAAACTGGATGATGATGGAGCCAGAACGACATGTTGGATCTGTGATTGTTTAAGTTGTACTTTTATCTTATTTTCCACCAGGGCAAACTTGTATTAGTTTATCAAAATTCTCTGAGTAATGCATCTGTCTTTCCCTCAGTAGCTCACAATTATTGAAAAACCCTTGCACTGGGAGGGTTTGAGTCACTTCTAACTAGTCCTGGCTCAGAACTAGACCAGAGTATAAATGGCAGTGGATAAGAGCAAGTGGCTCCAGGCTGTCTCAGGGAGGGATTGATGTCACCTCCTGCTTGGATTTGTTCTGGATTGTATATCCTACCATAAAAAAAATAAAAAGCTGAAAATACCATTAAAATCCCTGTGTTCATTTTATCCCTGTGATTTCCTTTAATATTTCTTTCTCTGAGCACTATTAACTCTGCTAATTCCCAGCTGTTGCCCGACGATCAAGAAACAAATGTTCATCCTCTTCTGGCCATGGCCCACAGGTATTAAAGGATAGTTCCACTAATGCTCCACACCAAGAATTCACTGCCACTTGACATATGGAGTAATTTACCCCTGTTGGCAAAAGGAACCAAAATCAGCACGTTCCTTTTACAGCCTAATCCTGCACGTGGTGTTGATGGGTAAACAGTGACACACCAGGGTTTTACTACCTGACATAAAACATGCATTAGCACTGGGGAAATGTGTCTGTGCGTCTGTGCATTGCAGGGAAGTTTTTTTTTTTGGTTTTTTTTTTTTGTTTGTTTTTTTCTTCAGGAAAGAAGACTGCTTCTTTCACACAGAAATCTAGGTGAAATTAGATGAAATCACCTGGAAAAGCTGATAATACAGAGAGCAAAAGGAGATGGTGCATCTCTCTTTTGGAACCCTGAGAGTTGCAGATGTTCAAATTCAGAGTGCCGGTGCCAGCCCATGAATTTGATGGGTGCTCTCAGCATCCGCTGCAGTTTAGGGTTTTTATCCTGAGAGAAACAGGCCCCTCCAGAACACATCAAACTCAGACAATCGTAGACATGGAAATCAGGTCAGATGAATCATGTCTTAAAAATGGCCATATTTTTCTTAAATTGTAAGTGAGGAAAGAGTGACTAACACCTACAGAGATGATATTAGGTGGGATGAATTCTACCCCCAATTTCTCTGAAAATGAAGCTATTTTAGCTGATGAGACACAAGGTTGATGTTTGAGACAAAAGGGACAATTTGGGACTGTCTGAAAAATATTAAGCTCTTGGGAGTTCAAAAATAGAGAGAGTCACAGCATTGCTGTCTTATGTGTATCTGTGTCTAGGTATTAAGATGTGTCCTCTGGATTTCTAGATTTGTACGCTTCAGCATGCTGTCTTGATGCTTGTTTTTTAATGAAAAATGCCCTTTTTTTAACTGTTAAAAAGAGATTTTTTTTACTCACTTTGGGAGGGAGGAAAGACAGGCTCCAGAGCTGCACTGACCTGAGGACTTCTATTTATCCAGAATTCTTGCTGTGTCAGAGAACAAACCATCTGGGGCTGCTGAGGACCCTCAAATAGACCAGTGAAATTCATGGGCAACCACAACTCCTGCTCACTAATTGTGGCATGGATGTGAAAGTAATTTGGGGTTTTTAATTGTTCTAAGACAAAAATTTTATGATCAAGAAAATGCCATTTGTGTTCTGTGATGCAGCCTTTGCTCACAGAACAATAAGAGAAATCATCATTACACTGCTATTTAAATCTTTCCATGGCCTACAGCTGATGTTATTTATTGTTGCTGTCCTGTCTCCCCACCTGTGAGAACAATATCCTGGGACTGGAAACAGTGGCAGTGTGACAAAATGTTAAAATTTAGAATTATTTCTCTGTAATGGAGAATTACAAACTCTAGGACCTTATTTGTCTGAAAAAGGAACGGTAACTGATACAAATGACTACAGGAACTTGTATCTAATTTTCCTAACATTAAACACCAGGGGAACATCAAATAGCATTGCTGTCTGATTAGTTCAGAAAATAAAAAGACATATTTCTTATAGCAGGGTGAAGTACAGGTCTGATATATTTTGCCAAAAGACAAGGGGATGAAGGTTTCAAAAAGTGATAGAACATATTCTGGGAAGAAAACATAATTAAGGACTTATCATCTTGGTAGCTGCTGATGACTCAGAGCTGCTTGATGTCAGGGTATTCTTGGTCTTCTTTACACATTTTCTGTTGGACATTGCTGGAGGCAGAACTTGGTGGAGCAGATCTCTGATCCCAGGCAGCTTCATGCTGCCCCATCTCATACAGCCTGGGCACTCTCAAGGAGCCTCCTTAAGCCACTGCATCCACCAAATGTTTTACGTTGACCTGAAGCAGCAGGAAAAATCCAAATTTCTCCAGGAAATTTGATGATTTGTGCAGTCTGGGTGAGTTGTTTGTTAACCAAATTCTAAATGTGTTATAAGCTTTAAGTCCACAGGACACAGAGAAGGAGAATATGTGAGGTTCCAACAAGGATTTAATGCTGAGCATGTTTGAAGAACAAACACCCATTTTCCTGTGTATTTTACATCCTCTTTAAAAAGGGAAAGAAACACTTTTGGCACTGCTATCTACAAGGCACCACAGAGAGTCCAAATGTTCACAGTGTGCAGAGGGTCCCCAAAGTGAGGTATGTCGGGGTCCCCAAAGGGAGGTATATCAGGTTTCCCAAAGTGAGGTGTGTCAGGGTCCCCACTCACCAGCCCAGCCTATCTTTGTGTCTCCAGACTGTCCCACACAATGAAGCTGGTGACACCTGATGTCACCCTCCTGCAGCACAAAGCAGCTGCACCTTCATGGACATTGCAAGGGACTGCCTTGGTTTGGAAAGACAGGAGACTGCTAAGGAAGGCAGGAGCCTCCCCTGAAATGGAGAATGTAAACCCTCCCCACCCCTCCAAATTGCCAAAAATTTTAAATTAAGGGTCTCTCGGGCAAAAAATATGGAAGCAGGAAATAACAGTTCTTTAAGAGTGAAGAAAAAAATAAAAAGATAAAATAAACAATGCAGTACACTGGAACAACACTGACAGAATCAGAACCCAACCTGACACCCGGTGGGTGTTGGCAGCACTCCCATTGGAATTGTGGCTGAAGCCCTCCTGCAGTGTCAGGGGGGGCTCTGTTGGAGCAAGGGGGATCTGTAGAGAAGGATGTATTCTTCCTCAGAAGATCCAGTAGAAGAAGATGCAACTGCTGTTCCTCTGGGAAATCCAGTGGAGAAGCTGTGCTGGTGTTCCAGAATCTCCAGATTATATCTGGGTAGGAACACTTGGCTCCTCCCTCTGGGATCACATCTCCCAATGGGATGTTGTAGTTCTTATAAGCCATGCAATGACACTCAATAGTTTGTTATCAGCAGATGTCCCCTCCCTAGGGAGGTGTGATTGCGGTCACTCAAAGAGAGAGATAAGGCAAACTGCCCACTTGACAAAAGACAGCTGCCATACAGATGGTAATGGAATACATCTTGCCTTGCAATATGGAACAGGGACTGGAACAGTTGTGTCCCAGTGCAGGAATATCTGTCTTGGGGTTGCCTGCTTGGCCATGAGCAAGCACTGGTAAGAGCCATTGGAGAGGTCAATTTAGTTTTGTTGGGGGAAGCTCTCAGTAATTTTCACAGCTGTGATCCTGATCAAGTGTGGAGCAGGACAAATGGAGAGTGGCACATCTCACTGTGACATCCTGACCCATGTGTCTGGGACCAGAAACACTGGATTTTTCTGATTGTGCCATAGGAGAGAGGTCAGGATAGTGCAGACAGGACCCTCTTTCATGGCACCAGGGCATGAGAAACCTCCCAGATACCACCTGCTGATCTGACACCATCTTCCTTCACTACCACAAGAACTTTCAGCCTGGGGGTTTAAACCCTCATGAGGCATTGACAAATTCAGCCCTCAGGGTGAAATCACAGACCAAGTCAGCACTCAGTTGCTGCAGAGATGATTTGGTTTTCAGCATGAAAAACAGCATGAAAAAAAATGTAGATGTTTCTGGCTTGTGATTTTTCTTTTCCCATTTCCAGCCTCTTCTCTCAAGAAAATGTTTACATTATTCCCATGTACGAGGAAAGCCCAGGGAGCAGAAATGTTTCTGACCAGGCAGCTAAGTGAAGTGTTGAAGGTCTGAGGAACAAAACTTTGTGGTCCAGCAGGTCAGCTAACAGCATCTCTCACAGAGAGACAAACTGAGGGGAATTCAACTTCTTTCATCTCTTTCTGACAGAAATGTGGTTGAGAGCACAGAGTGCCTGTCGGAGCACATATCTACTTCCAGCCCTCCCTGATAACATCTGGGACCACCAACAAGGTGGAACTGAGCTTAACACCAGGACAGGAGCCTCAGAGGTGCTGCCAAGCAGCCCTGCAGGTGCTCATAGTTGGGGGCAGAGAAGAACACATGCAATTTGGATTTCCTGCTGTGATTGCATCCCCTGAACACCACACCCATTCTCCACAACCCATGACTAAATAGCTCATGGACATGAGGAGAGCTGAGGTGTTTCAGAGCAAAAATATGATGCAGGAAGAAAATGAAGGTAGCAGAGTTTAGGCAAGAAACTTTTGGAGAATGAGGTTTATAGAGCACTGGACAGCAAATGGGGCTGACTGTGGAAGAGAGAATGTGAGGCAATGGCACCAAACTGCAAAGAATCAGACTTCCTTATTGAGAATAATTGTCCCTGAAGAGATCATTATTGTTATTTTATCTCACATTTACCTAGAAATTCAGGAACAAAGAACCCATGGGATGATTTTTCTTACAGTGTTTTCTTTTCCTACCTACAGGATAACACTTCATCCATTGCAATAAAAACTTTTCAACCTTTCCCTTTCTTGATGTACGAGACAATGGCCATGTTTTGGTTTCAAAACATGTGCTAGAAAGTGCTCCAAGTGTGTTTGGAGTCCTCTGTCCTCAACAGGTGAGACGTGACAACCTTGCCAGCGTGCCTGGCTGCCTGATGGAAGGCACATCAACCAACCTAACACTGAGTCTGGTGCCTTTCATTCCACTGCTTCCAGGAAAGGTTCCCAGCTCAGGTTCCCTGGAATCACCATCCCCACAGGCAGGGGGGCTCAGCAGAGGGCAAAACCACAGCTGAAGCAGAGCAGAAGCTGGAGATGTGGTGCAAGAGGGTCACTAAGGAGGAAGAGACAATTTGTGACAATGAGACTCCATGAACTCAGTCAAGAGGGGCAGATAAAACTGCAGAGTGATGCAAAACAGTTTTGGGAACTAATTAGCCTTCCAGTACCTAAAGGAGGCTTGCAAGAAGGAAGGAAAAGGACTTTTCACAGCTGCATGGGGTGACTGGACAAAAGGGAATGGTTTTAACTGAAAAAGAGTAGATTTAGATCAGATACGAGGAAGAAGTTCTTTGCTAAGAGGGTGGTGAGGCCCTGGCACAGGGTGCCCAGAGAAGCTGTGGCTGCCACACCCCTGGATGTGTTCAAGGCCAGGTTGGATGGGGCTTGGAGCAACTTGGGATAGTGGAAGGTGTCCCTGCCATGGAATGAGATGATTTTTAAGGTCCCTTCCAACCCAAGCTATTTGTGTGATTCTGTACATTAGCACCCCTTTGACCACAGAGTGATCTACAGGTGATTGTGCTTGTTTAGCCTGTCCTGGTCATCTGGGAGAAGTTAGGCAGCAGCAGCCAAGGTTGAAACCTGGGTAGTGCAACCCTTCCTCCTCTCACACTAATTAGCAGGGCTTTTAGTGTGGGACAAGCTGTTTAATTACTATTGGAATGATGCTGCTTCCACTCCTGGGCCATGGTCCTTCTCCTGTCCAACTAGAAGGATCCAAAATTCACCCCTGTCAAGCCCTGGTTGAGCAATATTAACACAGCATCTGCCAGGCTGTTTTGAATAACTGCTAAACATCTACGCTGCTTTAAGAGGGAAGAAAAGGCTTTTCAAGTGCTGCATACATTACCCATAGCAGTGGGGAAGGATGTTAATAATTCATTCATGCTCTCAGACTCTGGAGTGTGCTAGATCTTTCAACTCACAACAATAGACATCACCCTGCAGGCTGTCATGTCCCCCTTTTAACAAAGGGAAAGAAAAGAGAGGCAATAAAAAGGAGGAAGATTTCCTGGGTGGAAAATCTGAAGCCTGATGAAGAATTAAAGCCTGTTAAACATCTACTTGAGCCAGCCATTGAGCAATAAAGCCTATTTGCAACCAGTTGCTGGAAGAAAGAGCTGCATGTGCAGGAAAAAGCATTTGTTGGGGAGATGCTGGCATTGCTTTCCTTGTCTATGGAATACATCAACCCCCTGGGGTGCCTGTTCAGCAAGATTTCCTTATTCAAACCAGAGCAGAGAGAGAAGAGGAAGGAGTCACCCTGAGAGAACATATGTGTGGAATTATTTTCATGTGACTGGACCATCCCCTGAGTACCTGATTTGCCTTCAGCTATTACTGTACCCCCACAGGATGTTCCCAGGGCATGTGATAGAATCCCATATGTGTATTTCCAGCTCCAACAGAAATAAAGGCAACCAGAAGTGACAAGAGGACTTGTTTAGGATGAAGTAGGGAGGAAAGCAGCCACTGCTGAAGGTACAGTCAGGACTTCTGGGCTGGTGACCATTAAATGTGGCCGCCTGCAGAAACAATCATCATGCCCATGACAAGGGGAGAAGCCACCCATTTATTTAAGATTCCTCCTGGGTCTGTATTCCTGCTTTCATCCCCTCCTTCTGCTTCCCTGAGTGGGAGAGCCTCTCCTGTCTTGCTCCTTCACTTCCAAGGAAGTAAAAGTCTTGCCTGTCACATTGAGAAGCCCCACACCAGTCTGAGAATAAAGGAGTGTCCTAGTCATGAGGGAATTGCATTTTAAAAGAGAAAAATTGAGATCCTTTATGCAGTAGGCACTAAACTACAGCCAAAAGTAACAGGAAAGTCCTTCCAGTAAAGAGTGGATCATGTGAATGAGCAAGAGGTGACAAAATCAAAATGTTTCCTTCCTGGGGAGGCAGAAGATAAATAAATATCATTTAATCCTTCTGAAATCCAACCAGCCTTCTTATTTCTGTAGCTATGTCAACAGTTTTGAGCCATTTACAATTCCTCATGTGGCTCCCCTTATTCTGATTCAGAATTATCCCAAACTGGTTGACAAACGGAGAAGAGGGCTCAAGTCCCACCACATCTAATGTCGTGATGAAAACTCTGGTTTTCAGACATAGGCTGGCCCATTGAATTCAGTATTTTTCTCCCCAGAGGTCACTTACTGCTATTTTCCATGGAAAACTCCCTATGGACATTTTAGTGTACTTGGGAGAAGAAAAGCAATGCTTTAATTCT